GTTAGGTCCAGCACAGAGGTACCGAGGTTGGTATAGTCATCTGGGTTCAAGGCCAGAAAAGGTCGGCTTTCAGAGAAGTTTGAGGGACTTTGCTGACACTGTAACAAACCTGGCACATGAGAGCTCAATGCTGGAAACTTCAACACAGGGGAGATGATACAGCAAGAAAGGCTGCTGCCCAGAAAGGCTGTTGGAACTGTGAAGAGCAAGGACATCTGAGGAGCCAGTGTAGGAAGAATATCACCAACAAGTCAGCCACAAGGAGACCAGTCGTGGCTGAGGTTGAGGGATACTCACCAACCCCCATCATGAAAGTCCCTACAGCTAGGTGTAAAATGCCAAGCACACACAGCGTCCATGTGACAGGAAAGCTGGATGGGCAAAGGTGCAACTTTGTCATTGACTCTGCGTCTCAGCAAACCCTTGTGAGCATCAAGGTGTTAAATCACGAAGGAGTACCAGAAGCCATACAGAAGCTTTATGGTGTGACAGGACATTCTACAAGTTTGTGGGGACCAGTGTGGGTAACTATTGAGCTCATGGGCGTAAAGGACAGACAGATGGTATACTTGGCTGACATTGAAGACAAATGCATATTAAGGTAGGACTACTTATTACCGAGGAAGTTTGTAATTAATTTTGATAAAATGACATTTGGGAACAACAAAGGCCAAGTTCCGGTAACTATTAAAAGAGAGGTTGAACTAATTAGGTGCCACCAAGCTGAAGTCAAGCCGACTGAAAGAGTTGATGAAGGTTAGGTTAGGTTAGTGAAGTGGAACCAAATATAGATATCAAAGCAGAACAGGAGAAAGACCAAGATTTGAAGCCAATAATTGATTTTCTGAAAGCAAGTGTTGTGCGCCCTGCTTGGGAAAAGGTGTCTAGTCTAAGCCCTGTGACAAAGCACTATCGGGCACAATGGGACCAGTTGAAGCTTGAAAATGGTATTCTTGTCCGGAGATGGGAAACTACAGATGGGAAATTGACGACTTGGCAAACAGTTATACCGAGGAAGTTACGGGAAGTTGTGCTGCGTCAATCCCATGATAGTTTAACAGGAGGACATTTTGGAATTAAGAAGACATTGAGTCACCTACGCCAAAGATTTTACTGGATAGGTATGAGGCAAGATGTGGAAGAATGGTGCAGGACATGCAGTAAATGTTGTGCTAAAAGGGGACCCAAGCATAAGGGACTCCCACCTTATGATGAGTTGCCTGAGAATATGTCAGATTTTGTGAAAGTGTTATCGGAAAAGATGGATAATATTCACCATCAAGTGCGTTCAAACTTGAAAACGTCTGATGATTCGATGAAGCTATGTTATGCTAAGAGATCTACTG